TTATTCCCGTTTATCTTTTTTGTTGTTGTTGCTGCTGTTTTCTGAAATCCAAACCGGGACGATGTTTCCGCTCACACACCGTGTCCTGATCTGCAAACTGCTGCGTAACGAGAACGCTCAATAAACGCTGACAAAGGAGGAGAAAAGCCAAAAAATAAAAAAAATAATAATAATAATAATCTGGAACAACGCACAACCCGTCCGCCTGAAACGTCCCAAAAGGACGAAGACGAGCGGCTGAGAGGACGGGAGAGGACGGCTGGTAGCTGCAGACTGGAGCAATAAAAGCGAAGCAAGGCAGAGAAAAGGTCACGGAAAACCGCTCGGAGAGAGGAGGGAGGGGTGGAAAACAAATTACAGCATTCCCTCTCATGATTGTAAATGTGTTCAACACACAAACACACACACACACACACACACACACACGCACGCACACGCACGCACGCACGCCGCCCACCAACAGGCTTCAAGGCACGCTTGGCCCTTTAAAGTCTTCCTAAAACGTCTTTTTTTTCACCCAATCCCGCCATAAATATTCCCGAATCAAAGCGCCGGGAGCGGTTTAACACGGATCAGGCTGTAAAAAACATCCAGTGACGTTTTAATGAAGCTCCTCAGGCTCTCAGTTCTTCCTGCTCACCTGCTTTTCCGCCATGTTTACGTCCATCCGAGGCGCCTGCGCACATTTCCAGCTCCTGTTCTGACGCTTCATCAAACTTTCCTCAACCCGACACCAACTCATCATCTCAGGTCTGAATTTAAAACTGATTTTAAGGTGGAAAACGCGAATACACTGCAAAAACAGAAAATATTACCTGTAGTTTCAGCTGTAAATATCTGCCAGTTTAACTACATTATTAAAGAATCACTGACTCTGAACAAGCTCCTACATCTTGAAGAAAAGTTACTTATGGGTTAGTTTTGTCTTATTTTAAGTGTACTAAGATATTTGCACTAGAAACTACACACAAGTGTTAGGTGAGATTTTGTGTTTTTACAGTGTAGGGAGCCCTTCCTTCATTCCACACTGCAAAAACACAAAATCTTACCCAGGATTTTTGGCCTAGTTTCTTTTGCAAGTATTTTAATCCACTTGAAATGCATTCAATAATCCCCAAAGTTACTTAATATTGATAAAATATTTATATATATTTGTTACACTTCTGATAAGACATTTTTCCCATGTTGTAAGGGAAATAATCTGCCAGTTGAACTTTTCCATAAGTATCAATGAATAATTGAAGTATTTTTGGTCATGTTTCTTGTGCAAACTTGAAGTAAGACAAAACTTACAAGTAACTTTTGATTTAAGTCAATATTTCCTTAAAATTGATTTAAAAAAATACTAGTTCCAGATTTTCCACTTGGAACATGAGAGAAAAGTGAAGAAATCTGCTTTTTTCATCTCTGTTTAGGAATTATTGACTTAAAACTAGCTGCTTTGTCTTGCTGAAAAGTTTTATAAGTTAGTTTTGTGAGCTAAGATGAAACGAGACCACAGATACTTGGCTTGATTTTGTGTTTTTGCAGCGTTTTTGCAGCGTTTTTGCAGTGGTTCATTACGGATTCAGACCAACGCGGCTGCAGCGAGGGTTAATCCATGCAGGTCTCTGCAGAGAGAAACGGGGTCTTTACTCCCCTCTACCTTTCATCCTGTAATCCAGACCCAGACATAATTACCCTCCTTCCCCAGAGAGACGCAGAAACAAAAAAGAAAACTCTTCCCCAGTTTAACTTCTTCTTCTCTTTTAGACAAAGTTGGGCTCTAAAAACGAAAAGTCTTGGATTAATTCTCCTCTTTTAAAGAAAAAAAAAATCCTGACAACTTTTATGCAACTAAAAAAAAGAAAATCCTTGGTTTAGAAAAGGACCCCTGAGGTGCCCCCGCCGCTGCCCGGTCACAAAGGGCCTTTGGGGCTCCTCTGTAATCTCTTAATGAACTGCAGCGGAGGAGAGGCAGCGCTGCTTTTCCATATCCCGTGTAAAGCGGGGCTCTCTTTTGTTTCTCCCTCCCAGCTACAAAATGGATTAGCGGTTGGAGGAGGCGCGGTGATGTGAGCAGGGGTCACTCTCTTGTTTTTCTGACGAGGCTCGTTTAAGAAAGGCCAGCAACAATGAGGTTTAATCGACGGAGAAACACACACACACACACCTACACACACACACACACATATGGTAAGCTGGAACCAAGATTTAAAGTTTAGACCATAAAAACTAGAAGAGAGCGTTACAACCCAGCGCTAACCAATCCGATGCACCAATCTGCTGGTTTTTTTGGCCCGTACCGATTTACGTCTCACTGATTTTCACAAATTTATGTTTTTTCCCCAAAAACAATCAACATAAAAAAGGAGAAAAAAACTTAAGCATGCAAAAAGTAAATCAGCCAAAATCTCCTTAACTTTGTGTGATCGGTGATCGGCTCACTGCAAAAACATCAAATTTTACCACTAACATAAAGGAGCTTTTTAAGGTCTACATTTCCTTCAAACTAATGAAAAAGTAAATTATTTCACTTTTTAACATGACATTTTCCCATGTTATAGGTGAAATATTATCATTACCAGTGAATTACTGACTTTAAAAAGCTGATATATCTTGATAAAAAGTTTCTTATAAGTTTTGTCTTATTTAAAGTGTTTGCACTAAATTAGACCAAAAATACATGATAAGATTAGGTGTTTTTGCAATGTTGATACTTAAACATGAAGCCGATTTTATCAGAGGTTTGACTGACTGTTCCTGTCTGCAAGTTTGTAGTTAACGATAGTCACCTTAAAGTTGCCAACTCAGCAACTTTTCTGATATTTTTAGCAACATTTAAGACAAATAGTATCAGTTTTGGCCAGAATCGGAATCGGCTTTTCGAAGTGATCGGCCAGAAAACTGCAATCGGTGCACACTTAAAGCCTGATAGCGGATACCGTCTTCAGTCAGAGGCTCCTTCCAATTCGCAGTAGAACAGACTGCTACAGGAGCTCCTTCATGTCCGCTGCTGTCTCTATCTGCAGTAACTCAAATGAGTTTTGGGATCAGGAAGGCGTTTTTAAATTTGAATCTTATGACTCATCAAAATGAAAGAATTACGTACTTATTCCGATTTCTGCGTCTCGAATCCGACATTTACAAAGTTTAATTTATAGGCTGAAAATGGTGGAAGTTGATACATTTGATGCATTTAATAATGATTGTAGGAAAAATCTGATTTTTAATAATATGACAAATAAGGAAAAAAATCAGCCTGTTCCAATCAAATTGATTCAAAGTGACTCGTTTCTGGTGCTGTGGATGCTGAAAACAAGCTGAAACTTTGTATTCAGGTCAAATAGATTACAAAAAAATCCAGATTTAACTTTTAGCTCATCGTCCAGAAAACTCCCACCCTGAGGCCTCCGCACGCTCCAACGGTGGACACATTATCACGTTTCCAGTTGATTTCCTTAAGTTAGAGCTGGTCTGCAGCTCCAGGTTTGGTTAGAAAGGCTTCTTCTTTCACTATTTGACCATGTTTTGCTAATTTTCCTCTTTCTTTCCCGTCATCCCCAGCCTCTCATGTTCCTCCCTAAAATCTAGATCAACCATCCAGAGTATTAAAGCTTATAAAGATCTGCGTTAAGGTGGTTATTTTGCTGTTTCCGTATCATATATTGATCTTTTCCTACTAATTTCAAGCCAACTGTCAGTCTGACATGCAAAGCTGAAGTTCAGTCGAGTCAATTTTCAGATAACTGACCTATATAAGAGTTATTTTAGCAAAAATCTGAGTCGTTTTCACATTTTTAAATGTTAAAATAACTCCAGAAGTGTTCAATTCGGCAAATTTGCTGTGTAATTTTATTTAATTCATCTGAAAAGAGTCTGATTTTGTAACTGGGTGAGTTTGAATAGAAATTAAACTCACTGGTTCACATTTTAACAATAAAAAAAAACAGTTTGTTGAGAGAAAAATTGAAGTTTTCAGCTCAGTTTAGCACCAATCCGTGTTTAGTGACCACATTAAGACACTCAAACCTTCACCAATTCTAACTCGCGGATTTGAACCAAAACTAGCTCGTAAAGGCGCAATCTGAAGGTTAAAATGCGCGTCACTTTGCGCCACTGAGTCCATCTCGCCGTCAGGGAGGCGCAGTTTGGAGTCTGGAGTTTTGGCCGTGACTAAACGGACACAAAGACGGGACCCACTCCGCCCCCGCCGGCAGAGAGCAGCGGCACACAGCAGCAAAAACAGAAAAAGAAAAGAGAAAAGAAAGACAAGAAAGACACCTCTTCTGGCATCACTAAAGGACTTGAAGCGTTTATTTCTGACGGCGGGGGGGAGAAAACACCGTATTTGTTCCTGAAGTTACTCAGAAAAAGAGTCCAAGTTGAACTTTTACGCACAGAAACGGGACTTAGCGCAGCGGCCTGTTTAAAGTTTTATCTCTGCGGCCACATTTCTAGCAGAAATTACTCTGAAATCCGCCTTATTGTTCAGAGAAAACATTTCAGCACACACACACACTCACTCACTCACACACACACACACACACTCACAGAGGCCCGCTGGAGCTCAACTAACACTCAGAAACATGCTCCGTTCTCTTCACGCTCCAACAAAATACATTCACATTCCTAAAGTTGGAATTATTTTTAATAAATTGTATGTATTTTTGATATTTCTGGCGGCGACATTTGATGTATTCACCCTGCAGTGCGCAGCGCAAAGTGCGCGTCATTTCTCCGCACATCGAGCTCCGTCTCCGCTCTCTGCGCGTAAATATTCCCCTGCTGAATGTGCGCACACTGACTGTCGGGATTGTAGATTTATTCAACCAGAATGCACTATTTTAGTGAAAAGCTTTAGAGGAGCGGATTTATTTTTAAAAAAGAAATTTAAAAAAATAAAATAAATGCCGGATTTGGTGGAGAAAAGGGGGGGGGGGGATCGGAAATAAATGTTGCAGTTAATTTTCTAAAATTATTCTTTGCGCAAAGATGAGTGCGCATTTCGCTGCACTTACTTAGTGTTGGTCGTGTTCCAGTAGATGGACTCCAGAATGAGCGGCCGACACAAGTCCAGTTCGAAGGCGAGGAAGAAAACTCCAAAATAATATCTCCACATCGAGTCCCCCATGGTGAGCCCGCGCGCCTCCGGGATGGATGCGGTGCACACTCCGTCTCAGAGGGGGAACAGCCGTGTGTGTCCACGCAGAAAGCAAAATAACAACAACAGAAAAACAAAAAGATCTTCAGATTATATCCCGATCCAGCGCATTCGGACCCAACAAGCTCCGATCAGAGCATCTCCAAAAAAACAGGGAAAAAAGAAGAGCGCACGGTTGGTTCATTCAGGGCGCAGCGCGTTAGAGATCCATCATCCTTCAGAGAAAATAGAAATCCCTCTGCGTGAAAAGAGCCAACATCCAACAGCAGCAGGCTGAGGTATTCCGCGTTCAGCTGGAGCTGGAGGTGGAGGTGGAGGGCGACAAACTGTGGGTGACAGCAGCACAAAAATGGAACAATGAGGTCGGATGGTCGAAATGAACAAAATGAGCGGATGTTTGGATGAGAGAAACCAAAGGAGCTGGGATGGAGGTTCTCATTCTAAACAGGTCCGAAAAGAAAGAAAATAAAACTCCCAAAGTGAGGAAAGAAGGACAGAAAAGAAAGAAAGCCGAGCACGCAGGCGGAGAATTAGAGTCCCGCAGATCCGTCCTCCCGCACCGCACCGCACAGCGACCCGCACGCAGGGAGGATGTCGCCTGATCGGCTGCTGCTCTCAAGCCAGGCTGGGAAGTAACTGAGAGAGACGCAGACTGGGAATATTTGGCGGAGCTGCTCCCGACCAGGCCCCGCCCACCGCTGCCGCTGATTGGTGGAAGTTAAAACGAAGCGGATCCGTCAATCAGAGGCGGCAACTGGTTCGGCGGGGTGAGAAATTACAGCCGAGCCCTGCTAATGTCAACGGGCGGCTGCTGAGTGACACTGTAAACCATTTTAATGACGCGACACGTCACCGAACAAGGGTTATAGTCAATAATAATAATAATAATAATAATAATAATAATAATAATAAGTATTAAAAAGAGAGAAAAAGAGAAATAAAGAGAGAGAGATGGAGGGAAGTCAAGTGTAATACGCGCACAGGTGAGGAAAGCGGAACACATCCGGGTTATTTTCATTTTCCAAACTGGATTCCTGCAGGATTCCCAAAGAACCGAACTCCTCATCCGAACCGAGCGCGTGCAGTCGGTTCAGCCGCTTCGAGTTCATTTGAAAGCCAAGAGCGCCCACTAGCGGCATAACTACCGGGAGAAAACAGAGAAGATTACATTTTTATCATCAAAAGTAAAATTATAACTCATTAAACAATTAAAATAAAGATGAAATCATAAGAACACACGCAGCTTTAAAGTGGTTCTTTCTATTTTTAAACTTTTTATTTTGTTATTCCACCATGAAGGCTGCAGCTTCATCCATAAGAGAAAACATTTAAATTACTGTTCATGTTATTTTTGAGTCGATATGAATCATTATTTTGCAGCAGAAATGACTCAGATTTAAATGCAGACATAAATAAGTTTATTATTTCAAGAAAAGTGAACATTATCAGATTATTTTAGACCCAAATGAAACTTTATAACCACTTTGTGTAGACGCTGTAAAAATCCACACTGACAACTGAAATTTATTTACTTATTTTGTCATATTTTTATTAAAATATCTTAAACTTACAAATGAAACAGTACAATTTGAGTAACATTTAGGATACATTTCATTCAGGTTGAATTGAATCCATATACAAAAGCAGACATGTTGGTTTAAATGTGTAAATATACTTGCAAAATGACTTAAATTTAACCAATAATTAAATCTTCCTCCTTGAAGACTGCAGCGTTATCCATAGCAGAAGTTGTTTATAAAAAATGTAATTACTGTAAATAGATTTACAAAAAAAAAAATTGATTAGATATGAATCAGTATTTTGAAGGAGAAATTATTCAAGTTTAAATTGAGACAAAAATAAGCTCATTATTGACAGCCACGAGTCAAACTTTCCAATTATTTTAAGGTGAGAAATAACTACATGTATCACAACTTCTGGGCTTAAACGTTTTGTAGAAAATCCAGGTTTTCATATCATTGAAAAAGTTTTTAAAATCATTTTCTTGTATTAAAAACATAAGTAAAGTAATACTACTTAATTCAATTTGAGTACATTTTTTCAAGGAGAAATGTAGGGGAAAAAACAATTTTGCCACTGCAGCGTTTTCTTTAAACAAGAAACATAATTACAATCACATGTGAATAAGTTTCTTCATGAGATAAGTCATTAAAAACATGCAACACCATCCTCCTCCTACCACTTCCTGTCTTCTTCTTCGTGGTTTGCGACAGTAGTAACATCCGGTTGTTGATCATGTGACTCAGGCGATGTGGAAAAAACGGTTTCCATTTCACTTTTACAAAATAAACCAATTTCTAACAAACACCTCACCTAAAAACATTTTATTTTGAAATTGCCGTTGTTCTATTAGGCGAGTTAATTTTCAAAATGTCAACAGAAATGCAGTTACTGATTACTATGCTACATTATGTCTCCACCATTTCAATTATTTATATTCAAAACGCACTAACATGCTGTTTTACAGTGTAATTCGCTCTGAAAACATTGTTTTAAGGTTTTCACACTCCTGTTCGCGACCAGCCGCTAATTGAATGGACTCTCACCCACTCACACTTCTGCCAGCTGTGGATTGAAACGTGCGAACTGCTGACACTCCTCTGCGACTTAATTTCATCAGTTTTCGGAGCTTTGCTGTGGATTGCGGCTGCTGGTCGAGCCGATCATCACCTCCATGTAGCAGCAGCTTGATAAGGAGATCAACGCCTCCTGTTGCAGCGAGCAACCGCTGACTGAGTTGCTTTAATTCAATTGGAAAGTGTTTTTAGGGAAATTAGACACCAAAAGCTACAGGAAGCTCTTTGGGAGTTTATATTAGTGAATTTCTTTAGTATTGACCTATAAAAATCGCAGTATGTTTAACTGCTATCTAATTGATTAGTTTAATATGCCAACTACAGATTTAAAGTTCAGCTTAAATATATATTTTTTAAAGAATAAAACCAGTTATGGAGGAAGGTAGGCAGCAGCGGGGCACTGCGGAGAACACAAGCCGGGGTGAAGCGCACCGATCAGGGCCGCAGTGGCCGGGTGAAGATAGGTATGGAGCTAAATTGGGACCAAAAAGTTTGTTTAAAAGAACAAAACAAAAAAAGTAGTGAAATTTAAATAAAAAATGTAAACAGAAAAATAATGTTGATACTGTAAGAAAAAAAAGTTGTAAATTTAAACAAAAGATTTCAAGATGAATGAAATGTTCAAAACTACTTTTCAGATTGAAGGTTATTTTTCCTTTTTTCTTCTTCTTTTGAACAAACTATGGCCCCAATTTAGTTCCATAAATGAATCTTTCACCGTGCTTCAATAAAAAAAAAAAACTTCTCAAGTCTGTCAGATTTAAGAAAACTTGCTACTTTTTGCCTAGTCAAAGTTTAGCTCAACACAAGGCTTGAATTTGATTGTTTGCAAATTATTTGTACATGTTTTATAATATATCTAGAATATATTTAACATATCAACACGATTTGAGTGCATTTTGTTAAAAAAACAATGCAAAAATGTTTGAGAGCAAATAAAAAAAAATGTTGAGTTAATGGTACAAAAATAAATTAAAATTTCAAGATAGAATCTGAAACTAAAGTATAGATCAGAAATTTTATAAATCTGATACCGATATCAACTTGGTATCGATATGAGCAATATTTTAGTATTGTATAGTATATTTTAGTCACTAATCTGCTGACTACTGGTGAAATAACGATGAGACCTTCAGCTTCTGTTGGCATTCAATGGATTTATTCATCTGTTCAGTCCTTTGACAATTTAAGGGGGGAAAAATTCACATGACAAAATTAAGATTCCACAGAATAAAGTTATTATACCCACCTGAGGTCAAATAAATCACCCAAACACACACACTCACTCACTCACACACACACACACACCTGCATTCTCACTCTGACCTCGTCTTACCTGAACTCGTGTCTCCTCTACGACTCAGCGGCGGCTTCGCCAAGTTAATTTACTACAACATAACAGTTCGCACACGTGGGGGAAATTTTTACGGAAAACAAACCAGAGTGTTTTTTTTTTCCTCCCCGCGTTTTCTGATCTCTATCGCTTTTTCATAAGACGGTTTTAAAAGGGTTACACGGAACAGGAAATGGCTTCTGTCCTCCGTTTCCTGTTGGATCGATCACCGGCAGGTCGGGTAGCTGAGGCCCGGTTCGCCTGCAGAACCACATTGTGTTTTTAACGTGACAGGGAGAAATGTTTCCGGAGGGGTGGAAGACACGGAGCGGGTCAGCCGGATGGGAAGCTTTCTGTGCTTTTTTTTATATTTATTGTTCTTAAAATTGAAAAAGAAAATTAACGCTTTATTTGAAGTGCTGTGCGTTAGACTGACATGACATCCGTCATGAACATGAAGGAGTCCAAATAAATGTTCATAACCGCTGTCATGAACTGTCATTCGGTGAATAAAGACACTTTTAACGCAAGTTTAAAAGAAAATGTACTTTAAAAGTATCATTTACCAAATACAGCAAAGTTGACACTTTTAATGCAACTTTTCATTATAAATGTGATTATTTACCGAATGACCTTTCATGAGAGAAGTCAAACATTTATTCCCGTTCCTTGATGTTCATAACAGGTCATGTCAGTCTTATGCAAACCGCTTCAAATTAAGTGTAACAAAAAACGGAGCGACAGCCACCCGAGCTGCCGGTGACTTTTCCCCTACCGCTGGTTACACATAAGACTCCCAGACTACAAGAAAACTTCCAGGTCCCTAAAAGAGAGAAAATAAAAGCAAACAGGAGGAGTTTGTTCTGTCTGTTTGATTTTTTTTGTTTTTAGGGGCGGCGATGAAGGAGCATCCTCCCGGCCTTTCCTTTAGCACTTCCAAAATGAAGCGAGCAAATCCGCAGCGGACGACACGGAGCGGGGCTGAACCATGAGGATGAGGATGGAGGGGGCGGTGCAGGACGAAGGCGGGGCAGCGGAGTGTCATTCGGCCGCCTTCAGAGAGAAGGACAGCTTGGGTCTGGACTTTCCCTTCCCCAGGATGATTTTCTGCTCCTCTTTCTGCTGCCGCTGCCGGTCCTGCTCCAGCTTCATGCGCTCCTCGTGGATCTTTCTCTGCTCCTCCACGATCCGTAGCTGCTCCTCGGCCTGCGGCGAGACGAACCGGGTCAGAGCAGAACCAGGACATAAACAGAAACAGACCCGAAGCTACCATGATAAATGATAATACTGTTGTTTTTGGGATCATTTTCAAGTAATATAATGGTTGCAATAATGCAAAAGTACAATGTCAATGATCAATAAACTTTAAATTCTAAGAAATATTTAAAACTGGAACTGGCAGACATTTTATATATCCAAAATAAATAAGCAAAACAACAAATAACAATTATGAAGTATTTGTAAATAAAACTGTCCTTCAAAAAAAAGGGCTAGTTGAGTCCATCATCAAGTGTTTTGTAAAAATAGAAAAGAGAAAAACTTTAAATCATGCAAATTGATTCATATTACCAAATATTTGCGCTTAGTTTCTAGTGCAAATATCGTATTACAAAACTAACTTAGAAATAACCAAAAGTGCTAGAACTCAGTTTCGGTTGCTAGGTAACGAGTTGGAATTCTGCTGGGGTTGCTAGGTAACGGGCTGGAATTCTGCT